CATTTGTAGAAGATTGGGTTCAGCAAAGAAGAGAGTTCTTTGAAAGTTGTAAAGAATAGTTTTTTAATTCTGCTTTGATTTTTAAAATTTAGATTTTTTTGAAAGTTATTTTCTGCTAGAAAAAAAATATATTCTGTTACTAATAAAAATTAATAGATAAAATCATTGATATTATCTTCCATTTTCTTCTCAACATCCAGAATCACAAAATGAATTTATTTCATTTTACTTCCTCAACTGTACCTGTGAACTGACTAAAAGCAAAACATAGGAAAAAGAGAAAATAAAGACGGGGGGTAAAAAAGATCAGATAATCTCCCTGCTATAACTGACCGCTGCCTACAGAGCATACTTAGTGCTTGGCGCATTGAGAAATGTCAGTGTTTGGTCAGAATCAGGGAGAGAAGTAGGTGTCTTCGGCTCCAGTACAGAGTTTAGACTTCTGGCCAAACATCCCAGCAGACTTGGGAAGCTCATTCCCGAGAAGAGAAGTGTCTGTGAACCTTCCCTTCCAGGCCAAATATGTGATCTTGTCTGATTCAGTCTAGCCTGAAAAGCCCTTTCCTACCTTTCTTACTTCCTTCCAACTTCATAAATATAAATACCCCCTTTTTTTCTTACTGTAGATGTGTGGAGGGTTACTATTTTATTAATCATTTGCAACCTGCAGTTATTCACATGGAGACATAAACTATAAATTGACAGAACAATGAGATAGTTCCAAGGCTTATATGTACTGAGAATGGAAACTAAAAACATTCAGAAGTCTTTGTCCCAGCAGTTTTTCTCCTGGGAACTATTCTGTAGAAACAAAAACATCAATATACAAAGCCATGAGTCTACCAGGGTATAGATTTTAAAAATAAAAAAAATATTTATTACAGTACTGCCTAAAGTAGAAAAAGCTATCAATAATATAAATGCCCACAAGTTAGGAAAACTCATTGCCATTGAGTCAGAACCACCTCCTAGCTGACTCTCCTGCGGGTTTCTAGAGGCTGTAAATGTCGTAAGAGGAGATTATCTCTCTTTCTCCCAGAGTTCTGGTAGATAAGTGGATAAGGAGCAAGCTGCCAGCCCAAAGGCAGGTGGTTCAAATCCACTTACCATTCCTTGGGAGAAAGATTTACAGCCTCTGAAAACTCACTGGAAGGTCAACTATAAATTGATTCCTACTTAACATCGCCTAACAGTGAATAAGGATGACAGAAGAAGAATTGATGCCTTTGAGCCGTAGTGTCAGAAAAGAGTGCTGAACATCATGTGCTGCCCAAAGAACAAATATGTCTTGGAGAGAGGGCAGCCAGAGTGTTCTTTGGAGGCATGGAGGCAGAAATGATGAGACTTGGCCTGACATACTTCAGGCATGTTCCTAGGAGGTACTTTTCCTTGGAGAGGAACGTGATGGAAGGTCGGCGAAGGAGAGAGGAAGACCATCGGCCAGATGGATTGATACAGTGACTGCCACAGTGGGCTCTAATGTGTCAAGAAGTGTGAGGGTGGTACAGGATAGGACAGGGTTCAAGTATGTTATTCAGAGTTGCTATGGGTCTTTCTCGACTCGACAGACCTCACAACAAGAAGTAGTAGCAAGGAAACAATTCAATAAATGCTATCTGCCCCAAAGAATATTACAGAGACTTCAAATGGAATATATTGAAGCTATACGCAGTAGCTTGATGAGAGGGATTTCCCATCAAGATCCAGGAAAGAGTGTATAATATGATCCCATTTTTAGAAAACAGTAGAAGGCCACATGCATGTAATATGTATATATGATTACATAAATGTTAACAGACAGGAAAGGATGTGTGCTAGATTATTCACTTGAAAGTGATGCTTGTGAGGAGCCAGGCACACAGTAAAATGGAGCAGGGGAGACTTCACTATTGAAGGAGCTCAGTGTGATATGGTTACATTTATCTACAAGGATTAGGAAATTCTGTCTCACATACTCTCAGCATGTTGTCTGGAGGGACCAGTCCTCAGGAAAGGTGGAAAGCCCCCAACCCAATGATTGACGCAGTAACTAGCACTGGACTCAAGCCTGTCTGATAGGGTGAGGATGGCACAGGATAGGGAAGGGGTCAGACCTCTTGTTCATAGGGTTACTCTGTGGCATAAGCAACCTGATGGCACCTAACTGTAACAACATGACATGTGTAGAGAGTTCTGGTGGTGTAGTCCAGAGGAGGTTGTACTGCTGACCCAAAATTGGCACCTCTCAGGTGGTTTGAATCCACCTGTGGCTCTTCAGGAGAAAGATGCAGTCTCCTTCCATGTTATTTGTAGACTCAGAAAACCTACTAGTGGGACTGCCCTGAGCTGGTTCAGACTCAGCAGCAGTGAGTTTGAGGGTTTTGATAGGATATGTACGTTTATGGAAATGAACATACATATTCGTAGGGACAAATGAATGTGATCTGGCCAGTCAGGAAAGCCTTTTAAACGAGAAAGGTAAAATTGAGGGAAAGGATAAGTTGTATTTGTGACGTAAGAGGAAATGGGTTATACATTAATTTATAGACATTAAAAAGTTGGCCAGATCACAAAAACTCACGTGGTATATGGGCTTGACTTACACAAAATCTCCCAGGAAGCAGTGGCAGAAAGTAGGTTAGCAGTTCTGTGGTCGAAAAGGCCAGAAGATCTGCTCTTGTGAAGACTAAGCCTTGGAAACCCTATGGGACATTACTGCTCTGTCATGTGGTCAACAGAATTCAGAATCAACTCAAAGTCACCTAGAAAATTTTGTTACTACAATTAATCCCTTTACATATGTCAGCCATTTATACAACATCTGGTATAGGGTGAGCACTCAGTAAAGGCCCTTCCTGCTTTTTAGGGAGCATTTTCTATCCAGAATGCCTGAGCTCAGATCCCAGCTATGCCACTTCCTAGCTCTGTGCCTCAGGAGCCTCCTTTGTAACATGGGAATGTCATTGGATATCTGCTTCTAGTCAGTGACTGGGGTAATGGGAATAGGTGTGTCAGAGACAATAAGATTGGCACCGGATAGAGCAGGCTGTAGAGCTGTTGTATATAGGGTTGCTATGAGTCGCAGGTGACTCAATGGCACATAGCAACAACTATTTAACAGATTCCTCCAGAACTTAGTGGTTAAAAACAGCTTACAAGTTACTGCACATAGTTTCAAAGAACAGCTTAGCTGGGTGGTTCTGATTTGGGATCTCATGAGATTTCAGTTAAGCTCTAAACTGAGGCTGGGCCTATCTGAACATTGAACTGGGGCTAAAGAGTCCTTTTGCAAGATGCCTCGTGTGATTGTTGGTAGGAGATCCAGTTCCTCCTCATCTGGGCCTTTGCATCCCCACAGTGCTGCTTATTTCATGACAGCTGTCTGTCTTAACCAAATGGACAAGAGCAGGTGCCCAAGACAAGCGATAATGCCTGATATGATGTCACTAACGTTACATTTTATTCATCATACAGCCCAGCCTTGGAATATTGTTGGAGAAGGGCCCACTCAGGGATGTGAATACCAGAAGCCAGACTCACAGGTGCCATCCTGGAAAGCAGAAAGTCATAGTAATAGCCAACTTACTCTGCAAGAAACCCAAGCTCATTTCCCTCCAGTGCAGCTCAAACTCAGTCAACACTTACTATCCCTGTGTCTTGCTGTCATGTTGACCAACAGAGCTTCTACACTAAGATAAATGAGGACTAGAGTCGAGGAAGTGTACTTCCAAAATGAGCCAAGGAAGACCCTGTGGATAGAGTGATCTCATTGTACAGACTCAACCCAAATTGGGGGCCAGTTGCGTGACAGATACCAAGCATTCAATAATGTTGTCACTATTATTACTGCTAAGTTTAGACTGATTGTTTTAGTAATTCTTTTGCTTAGGATCTTAAAAGTACAAAGAGGCATGATTCTCATTGTATAAGAGGGTCGCTATGAGTCGCAGGCGACTCGACGGCACATAACAACAACAACAAGGAAAACGTTGTCCTAGACATCCCTGGACCAGCAACCAGGTAGTCTGACAGACACTAATAATTAAGAACACATGGCACTTCATAATGAAGGTTCCTAATATGGGGAGTTTGGGGACCTGTAGGTGAGACTGAAAGGAATCTGAGATAACTTGAAATTGCATGCCACAAGTTTAGTGGTAAGGAGTTGCGCTGGCAACCCCAAGACAAGTGGTTTGTCTCCACCAGCTGTTCCACGGAAAGAGATGGACAGTCACCTCATGTGATTTACTGTCTCTGAAAACCTGCTTGGAGGGTCGGCTATGCCCTTGGTTCTGACTCGATGGGACACAACACCAGCTGTGAGCAGTTTACAGAGCAGGAGAAATCTGTAGCTTTCCACATAGTCTCTAGGGAGTCTTCAAACCTTAAGAGCCACATGCTGGGGGGGCATCATCTAGTTGGATTCTTAAGACAGCACCAAAAGGTGGATGATACCATTCACATTTTTGAAAGATAGAAAAATCGGCCTGGCCCTTAGGTCACCATAGAAAGGTGTAGCAATTGACAAGTCCTATTTGAAAGGCATTGCTATACTTTGGGAATTAAGAAGGAATTATTGATCTGTAATTAGGGAATACTTTTTGGTCATTAGCTTTTTTTCTAAAAACAGCAAGTCATTTGTCAAATGCACTCTGTATTCGTTATTCTAAGTCCCCGAAAATATACTATGGAATAAACAGGCAATAGTTTGTGCCCTCAGGAAAAATTATTCTCTTTTGAGAAAATCATGGAGAGAACGTAGCCCTTTTGCCCATAATGTTGTTCAATAATATTTTATTTGAATGAGTAAAAGAATGAACCAAAATGATGACTCTCACGGAGTTATGAGCCTAGTTTTGTAAAGGCAGGGAATGGCAATTTGAAGCCTGGGTTGCCTCCCAGAATCTTTGAGGAGATTTGACATAAAGAGTTGAACTTACATGTCTCCACCTAATACTGAACTGTTTTCAGTTCTTTGGTACTTGAGCAACACAAAACATTACTGTTTTTCTTACTTTTAGGAGAGGTGACACCAGGACTGTCCCAGGTGGAATATGCACTTCGCAGACACAAACTGATGTCTCTGATCCAGAAGGAAGCACCAGGACAGAGAGGGACAGACCAGACTGTGATTCTACTGTCCAACCCTACGTACTACATGAGTAACGACATCCCCTACACCTTCCACCAGGACAACAATTTCTTGTACTTATGTGGATTCCAAGAGCCTGATAGCATTCTGGTCCTCCAGAGCCTTCCTGGGAAGCAGTTACCATCACACAAGGCTGTGCTCTTTGTGCCCCGGAGAGACCCCAATCGAGAACTCTGGGATGGCCCCCGATCAGGCACCGATGGAGCGGTTGCTCTGACTGGGGTGGATGAAGCCTATACACTAGAGGAATTTCAGCATCTAGTGCCCAAACTGAAAGGTAACAGATGGGAGCAGAAGTCCAGCTGCAGGCTCGACTGGGGCTAGACCTGCTTTACGTTAACTCAAGAGTAGACAGAATGCTTTGTTGCTAACATTATCATCACAACATTGTTTCCCAAACCACCATGACAGGACCATGTCTTCTAAGAAGACCAAGCTAGTCTGGGTCACATTCCTTCATGTGATATAGGTCTTCATGAAATTATTCATTTATTGCTGTTTTAATTGCCCTGCTTGGAAGTCTGAGAGAATTTCTTTTAAGAATGGAGGGTAGATATGAGCCATTCTTCAAGATGATTGACCACTTTATTGACAACTTCTTATCACTTCTTAACTAAACACTTTGCCAGCTTCAAAAGGAGATGGTAGTCTCAGAATGATCCATGATTCAGTGCTCAACGTCACCTCAGAACATGTTAAAAACACAGGCCTCTACGGAGCTCTGGTGGCCTAGTGGCAAGAAGCTGCACTGCAGTCCCAGGGGTACTCTATTTGAATCCACCAGATGCTCGGCTGGAGAAGGAGGGGCAATTTCCTTCTGTACCAGTCAGATCCGATTTGATGGTACACACACAAAAAATAATTTAAAAAAGAAAAGAAACACAGGCCCCATCTCTAGCTACTGAACCAGAATCTGAACAAGATTCCCAGGAGATCACATGCACAGTAAAATAGGAGACGCACTACTTTAGATTTTACAAATTAACTTTTAACAAGCAAATAAGAATTTATGCCTTCAGTTCTCCCTCAGTCACGTATTCTACATTTATTCTGATGAGATGACATTCACTCAGAATGTTTTAGGATTCCTATCCTGAAACTTTCTTCAGAATCAGCACTACATTGTAACTGTCGTAGTGATTGTCACAAGTCTTCAGGTATGGGAAGTTCTTTTTTCCTTCCTTAGTTTATGTAAAAATCAACTTAATTTGCTGAATAAGATTGATGAATGTGATTGGAAAATAACAGATTTTTTGACCAGAGTTATGGATGATTTATCAAGTTTGAATCCAGTGTTCTTATGTATTAATCATCCTTGAAGGCAGCTTCTGAAAGAGCAGTGTTTACATGAGAGCAGTGGACCACACGTTGGCGTATGCAAGTCCTTGTACACTTGATTTGATTATTTTATCCCTTAATATGAATATTTACAGAGGTAATTGTTCAGTTAGTAGAAACTTTTTATGTCTTCAGATTATACTTAAAAGGACAATGGGGCTTTTAATTTTTTTTTTTTTTTTTTTAGCTTTTGGTTTCTTGAATTAGTTGGTAGCAATCAATCTCAATTTCATCAATCCAGGATTGTTAAAATCTCACTTAAAATCTTTTTCTCAGAAGTACTTCTCATCTACCATTCTTGACATTAGTAATATGCTACTTTAAAGCAGTGAGCAAAAGGAAAGATAAATGAAATCAGAGTCACATGAAAGTTTTTAAAAGGCTATGATTGAGGGAGCTCTGGTGGCCTAGTGGCAAGAATCTGCGTTGCAATCCAAAAGGCACATGGTTTGAATCCACCAGATGCTCTGCTGGAGAACGAGGGCAGTCTCCTACTGTGCCATTTGGATCCAGTTTGACAGTTCATGAAAAGAAAGGGGGGAGGGGGGGCTAGCATGATTGATGGTGAAGATACTGAGATTGTTAACAGCTTCCATTTGCTTAACTCTACGGACAACACTCTTGGTACCAGCAGCCAGGAAATTAAAAGACAAATTGCTTTGGGAAAATCTGATGTTAGAAACTTCTCCCAAGTTTTGAAGAGTAATGATGTCAGTCTGGAGACTAAGGTGCACCTGATCCAGGCCAGAGTCTTCACAATTACTTGCTGTGTGTCAGAGAGCTGGACAGTGACTAGGGATGATAGAAGGATAATTGATGCCTTTAAGCTGTGGTACTGGAGAAGAGTGTTGAACAAGTTTGTCCTGGAGAGGGTGAAACCAGGCTGCTTCTTGGAGGCAAGGATTCTGAAGCTTCATCTGACATACTTTGAGCATGTTTCAAGGCAGGATCAGTCCTTGGAGAGGACTCATGCTTGAGATGGTGGAGGGGCAGCCAAGAGAGGAAGACCCTCCATGAGGTGGATTGATTCAGTGACTGGGGTTATGTGGATAGGTGTGTCAGAGACAGTGAGATTTGCAGTAAGATAGTAAGATTGGCATGGCATAGAGCAGGGGTTAGGGCTGTTGTACATAGGGTTGCTGAGTTGCAGACAACTCAACGGCATATAACAACAACATCATGATTGAATTTCTATTAGAAGATTAGTGGTTTTCATGTAATACATACATAAAACCGTCTTTACTTTAAATGAACTTACTTTTAAATGATGAAAATTGGGAATTAGGGCACTGTGTCACTGATGCATTTCCAAAAAAAAGTTCTCAGGGATGCCCCTCACACACACCATCTCAAAGTACATGTTAGTCTCAGAAACTTATACAGCCTTCCAGATTTTGAGTGTTAGGAATGCTGCTCAAAAGGACTGGTGTAGATCTGGTGTTAAATGGAAATCAATACCATAATGAGCCTTCTTAGCATGTATAGTTCAGACAGATGAAGACCTTTTTCTTGGGTCTGTATTTATCAAGGATAATTTATCATCCTTGGGGCCCTGAAGGAATAGACAGAAGGTGGAAAGGGAGAAGTGGTAATTAATACATTAGTAACTATTATGCTTTTAGAACAATGAATAATTGCTCCAAAACATAAAAAAAAACCCCTCCTTTCACTAGTACTGAGATCTTTTTATGATGGAATGCAGTCCTTTAGCTCAAAGGTCATGATCTGATTACTTATCTTTTTTGAGTATAGTTACAGGACAGTCTCCTAGATCAGTAGTGAGTTCTTTAACTGATCAGCAGTTGTTCTTTAACAGTTAATAAATTAATAATAAATAATAAATAAATTAAAGTGAGTGAATTAAACTGTTCTCAACCCATGTCCTTTAGTCCCACCTGTCTGTTCTTAGGAAGAGCAGTGAGGTTTTGAAACAGAAAAGCTGTACATTGAGTCTATGAATACTTAGCGTTTTAGGGGAAGTGGTCTGTCCAGTGGTTTACAGTCGGACCCTTCAGTTACATTGGCCCTGAGAAAATTTACCCGCAGTCCTTTAGATTTCCACCCCACAACTCTTTTAAGAGTTGTGACTCTTGTTCGAATCATTCTGATAATTTGGTGTTTGTTATCACTGCTGTTAGGTTTGTTTTAAATTGGATTTTGGCTTCTCATTTTAAGCTGAGACAAATACGGTTTGGTATGATTGGATGAAGCCCCCTCACGCACAGCTTCACTCTGAATACATGCAGCTTGTGACAGAAGCCAAAGCGAGGAGCAAGAACAGAGTTCAGGCGGTCCAGCAGTTGGTACAGCGCCTCCGGCTGGTCAAATCTCCTGCCGAAATCGAGCTGATGCAGAAGGCTGGGAAGCTGACATCACAGGTATGATTGCTGTTGAAAACATTTTTCCAAACTTAAACATAAGTTCTTGGAGTTCAGTGGGCACCTTGAAGTCATGCGCCCTTGTCAGTAACTTCCCCACAGCCCGGTGAACATCTCTGTTCAGTGAACATACTTTGCTCCTTTTAATGAGCATGAGGCTTCCTCAGCACTTTGAAAGGCAAATTAAATTTTTCTTGTATCTCTTACCATTAATATTAGTTGTTTCTTCTTAGAGACATAATTCTTTTTACTTTCCCTATGATAATTGTATAGTAGAAGTTAAACCTGATCCACTAGCTAACAAAGATCAAGAAGATCCAAAATTACGGCGCATATAAATTTACAGTTCCAGGGAAAGGTACAGGCTAGAAACGGCGTTCGTTTAAGAGTGTGCGTCACAGCCAGTGGTCATCTCTGAGCAGAGGCTCCAGAGGAGCCAGGTAAAGGCTCCTGTTGTCCTTCCTTGCAAGTGCCAGGAATGAGAACTGGTTTTTCCTCACAGTTCAGTGACTCTGAGGTGTGGACAAAGCACTGAGGAATTTGTCAGCCCACTTTAGCTGAAGATTTTTCTGTTTTCTTGGTCACATGGCATTTTACCTTAAAGCAAAACCATATGGGAGGGTCTCATCAAGACTAAGTGCAAGCCATCAGTATCACTGTTGCCAAGACACAGTGCTGGCACAGTAGTACACCTTGCCTCTAGGACTAGTGGTTTCGAAGGCATTATTATTTTTTTTTTTTTCTATAATTATATTTTATTAATTTTCATAAACATTTACAGAGATTTTGGGCTTCCACTCATTCATTGTTGCACTATTCTCTCG